TCTGGGGTGCCTGTTCGGTTCCGCATCAGAGAAACCTTGTCGCCCTTCTTGCCTTGTTTTGGTTTTGTTTTCTGACCGCAACAGATTCATGTTCCTTGTTCCCTCCTTCGGCAGTCAGTGCATGGCCTTTACCGCAGAGGAGGCTGCAGGCTGCTGCTTTCAAAGCTTGCAGGGCTGATTTATTTTTAGTGTTCTTCGCTACCTTATCCTGCTCCTGCAAAAAGGAGATGACAGAGCTGATCAGGCTCTGCATCCAGCCCCAAGAGTTATCACAAGAAGGCACTAACAGACAAAACAAGGTTTCCTCAGCTTTGTCAGGGCTGAACCTCCTGCATCCGCTGAGCTCTCAGCCGTTGCTGGCTCTCCCAGGGAGCTGCCACTCAGCTCGGGAAGCCCGGCCGTTCCTGCATGCCGCTCAGCGTGGGAGGGACTCTGCGCTCCTTAATCACGGTTGCCGTTTAGTCACACTCCTGCACGTCCTAATGAGAAATCTGTCATGGGTGCATTTCTTGGCTCTCTGCTTTTGAAGAGCCGTTCCAGAGCCCAGTGCAGCAGGCTGGTGGGGCTAGGTCATGGCGCAGGGCAGGATTCGGTTCTCAGCAGTGAATTTCAAGCCTGTAGACGCAGGTCTAGCAGGTGATGGGGGGGGAATAGCAGGCAGCCCCTTGCTTTGGGACGCGAGGAAATGTGTCTTTGGTAATCCATTGCACGTAAGTGGCAAAATGCGCTGAGCTGAACATGGCTCGCTGGAATGTCCTGCATCTCTTACCAGCTTTGATGAGACTTAGAAAATATACATGTCTGCTGTCGTGGGGGAGAGCAAAGAGAGCACGCAGCTGAGAGCGGGGAGCTGCTCGCCAGGACTTACTGAGCCTTTTCACCACTGGCAGTGGCAGCGGCGTTGCTGTTTGTTCATACTACGTGGGTTTTCAGGTCTCTGGGGACTGGTCTTCAGCTGCTGTAAACTTTGGGGCTTCATTGTATCAGCTTAGATTGTGCCGCTTAATAATGTATGGAAGAGAAAGAGGTGACAGGAGATGCAGCAGAGGGAACAGAGATGCCTACAAATTTCACCTTTTTAAAGGGGCGCCCTGTCTGCGTGGCAAAAACCTTCACTAAAGGAGAAGGAGGATCATAACCCTTCTGTTCTCTCACCTTAGTCTCCAGTATTGCCAGCCCACTGGCAGTTGTTTTGAGTAAATAACTTACTGCTGGCCATATCTGGCTTCAGTCTTTCTCTTGCCTTGTTTTTAATTTCCTGTGGCTGCAGGAGTGCCACAAGGCAAGGCAGAAGTCTCATCTGTCAGGGTAGTAGCATTTTCCCTTCCCTTTTTCTCATTCTGCATGTTCTTCCCAAAGTACACTGTGAAGCCGAATGGAGCAAGTGAACAGAGAGGGAAGCAATTTAGGAAAGCAACTGGCAAAACCAACTAGTTGCCTGGCTTCTCTCTCACACTTGCCTCCAAGGAGAAAATGAGGCAGAAGCAAATGTGCACATTGAAATGTTTCAGATACTGTTATTAGGACTGCAGAGGGCCTGTAGGGCATGGGGAAGTGACAAATTACATTTCAGGCCATCTTTAATAGAGAAAGGGATTGCTCTTAGCTTATGCATCGTAATATGTTTGCATTTCGCAGCAGAGGTATTAACTCCTCTTTTATTCTTTTCCCCAGCCTTATCACGCTTTTTCCAACAGCCGGAGTTGCAGACAGTGGAAGAAAATGGCATCGCCCGGTTTGAGTGTCGCATTGAAGGACTGCCCTCCCCGGTCATCACGTGGGAGAAGGATCACGTAGCTGTTCCAGCAGAGCCCAGGTGATACCCTGATTGTTTTCCTGACATAGTTTAAAAAAAAAAAAAAAAAATCTGACCTTTTAGGAGATGAAAATCTTTCATAAAAAGGTAGAATGAAGAGAGGAACAATGAGGAACCTTTTCAGGTTTGGACCTGAAAGTGACTTGCTGTAAGGGCAGATATTCAAGGGATCCACACAAATGAGATCCATAAAGCACCAAAATGAAACAAACCTTCCTGCAAACGTCATCTAACCCACTAAAAAGAAAAGGAATTAAGCCCTTTTTCTACTGATCTCTTGGCCTGGAACCTTTGTCATGAACCAAGTGCTCAGTGTATAAATGACAGTTTCATGGAATTGAAATTGGATAGAAATTGGCTAATAAACAAAGTAACCAAATGAGACTTAAGTCTCAGTTTTCTAGTGGTCTGGAAGATCTGTGCGCAAGGATGAGCAGTTTTGGTAGTTTATACCAGCCATTTACTCCCTATACAGATAGTTGAAGGGAAACCAAAAACAGTATTTGGAAGGTAAGATCAGGCAGCAGTGTAAAAGTGAATGGAGAAACTTGAAATTGTGTCAGTTTTTACAGCATCGAGCAGGCTGCAGTCTGGGCTGCCTTTGGTTAGTTCTCTTTGACCGAGGTAGAAGTCTCTGAAGGATTGGGCCTGGCATGAGAGATCTGTCCCCAGATGAGTGTGGGGGTACAGTGCCAGGGTGCTGGGGTACAGTTTCCCCCATGAGGTTTGTCTTGAGGTTAATGTTTCTTCTGGAGCACTGTTTGTGCTCAGTAACCCAGGAGGTGTTTCCGTTTGTTTCATTCCTCTGTTTGGAGGTCACCTAGTAAAAATTTGAGTTTTCAAATTTGGAGAAAAGATAAGAATCTTGCAGCATAATTCCTCTTTCTTAATGAAATTGAGTTACGTGCATGAGAAGTGGATGAGCCATTAAGTTAACTATTAGTTGGTCTGTAGACATCACTGCTGCAAGGGATCAGTGATTACATTGTCCTCTAGTTCCTAAAAACTGGTTTCCTATTTTGCAGAAGGAGCCATTTTCCTCTCAGGGAAAGTTAAGCCATGAAGGAAGAGGGGTGATGGTGAGGAGATTTAGGAATAATTTTACAACAAAGACCGTTTTTGTAAGAATAACTGCTTATATCCTTAAGTCTGAAGTGTTGCACCTGAAGGCTCATAGGAATCTGTTGCTTTGTAATGAGAAGAAAATGAAATATTAAAAAAAAAAAAAAAAAAAAAGGGGGGGGGGGGAAAAAAAAAGAGGGGGCGGGGGGAAGGGGGCCAAAAACAGTGTTAATAGAAAAAAAATAAAATATAAAAAAAAAAAAAAAAAAAAAAAGAGGAGGGGAGGTAAAAAGAAGAGATGGCAGGGGGAAGTGTGCCACAGATAGGGCAATGACTTTTTAATGTGACAGCTCGATGGATGTTGTGAAATTACTTGCTTGGAGATTGCTTTCAACATGGGCAGCTTGAAAATTGTTTTCCTTGTAAAAGCCAGCCTGTAATCTCTGGCTGCAGATCTTGCTTTTTCAATCCTGTTTTAGCTAATATGCTGTTTCAGAAGGATTTGCTTTTTTGTTGTTGTTTAGTTGTTGTTGTTGGATTTAGTATAACCAGCTTTCGAAGGAATTAAGCGAATTCCAGGAAACATTGGCTGCCAACCAGACCTCGCTCTGTTATCCTTACCTCATCATGCCTAAGGACCGGATCTCAGTCCAGTCTGATTACTGTGGACTGCCTTCTGTGCATGCACCTGATGAGTCTGTGAAAAAGCAATCATTTGGATAGGTAGGCATCAAGATGCTGACTCCATGTCCTGAAAGAGCAAGGTTAGTTATATGAACAAAATCAGACTCTGGGGCTATAGATACAACCCTTGAGATAATGCTACTGCATCAGCGTTTGTGATTTCTTTTAAGTGAAGGATGGAATAATCGCAACACACTAACAACTACTCTCTTTTTGATTTTGATTGCACCTTTGGACGCTCTTTGGCCTTTGCCCTTGAATGCAGGTTCTCACGTGGTGCCACCTCAGAGGTTTTAAAAGCTGAGCTGAAAAAACGCTTCAGACAACCCAAAGGGGGGAGAGATGCCTTGTGGTGTTTTCAAAAAACCCTTTCCTACCTAACTTAAGTTCAGGGCAGAATCTAACTTTCATACAGGAGTAAGGCGCAGAAGTAATTTGTTCTCCTGGCTCCTAGAGTACTTCTAAAACATGGTCTTAAATTTATAGCAGCTCCTGAGAAGTGGCTTGCAGGAATTTTCTAGACTGCAGTTCCTTTGGAGTCTGTGCTGCATCTTTTGTTGTAGTCTCTTCTGTTTTAGGTGCTAGCTGGGTTTCACACCAGGCTCCAAGCAGATTTTTATTTTCTCTAGAGCCAAGGTGAATATCTGTTAAGATCTGGATGCCTTTTGGAGGTCTGCACATAAACACATACCTTAGAGGTCACATGATCTGCAATTGTAGTATTTTTTCTGTGTTTTGCCTGAATGAAGGTTACCTCTACATGGAGCTTACTTCTCTTGTGTCAGAAGTGCGTTAGTATGGCTTATAGCCGCGTACATGGGTCTCGAGCAGTGAGCAAAGAGGCTTGCAAGCTTCAAGTTACGGCCCCTCTGTGTTCTGCAGCAAAGCTGCAGGTTCCTAAGCCTTGCCAAGGGTTGGTAGTTTAGTCTGTTTTGTATACCTTTAAAAGGCTACAAGAAAGCATGTGTCAACAGTTTATGGGGGGGGGGGACAGTAAGGGAGGAACTGGATTGTTAACGCTGTAATATTCCCTGCTCTCCATGCAGTCTAATGCACTGAGTTACAAGGTTTGGACGGCATCCTGTGGCTCTTGATTGCGGTTCTTGAGCATTGCTGTTCAAGACCTGTAAGTGTCATTGAAGAAGCGAGAAGCTGTCAGCCCCTCTGCGCTCTGTCCCTGAGTCTGCGCTGGGAGGAGGAGAGCGAATCAGCTACTTGTTTGTGCCCTGTTAACCTTTTCACCTACTGCCCTCTCTGCCTGTGATGCTTGTGCCTGAGTCTTAGTGAGCTGCCCTTTAAATAGTTACCTGCTGCAAGTCGGGATCTCCCTTTCAGTCCATTCAAGGCAGACTCCTGGGGTGGGATGAGCCCTGAATGAAGTCCTAGCGCTGTAGCTGTCACCAGTGAAACTCCTGAGAGTGCCGAGGATCCGGGATTTCTGTTTCTCCCGGAGCTTTTGTCCTTCTGTCCTTTGGCTTTTGTTTGCCACTTGATCCTGTAGTGAAGGTGAGCAGACAAAAAAGATCCTTCTGCCCTTAGTGTGCAAGAAGAGCTAGTGCCAACTGTCTGCTCTGAATCACCAAGCAAATGTAACTGCTTTGGGGAGAGAGAGCCTGGGGATGGAGCGAAATGCCCTTGCAGGCTACCTGCAGGCCTCTGGTCCAGGGCTGCAGGGAGCCTGAAGAGCCGGGGCTTTGTGAGGGGCTAGGAGAGATTGTGACAGAGAAATCCCACCTCTCTTCCCTCCTTGCTTCCTTGGGAAAGCAATGCTCAGCTCTATCTTGCTTTCCGCAACAGGACTTACCTGTAAGTGGATCTCTCTACTGCTGACCTTGCCAAAGGGACCATCCTGAGCTTCCTGTTGATTGAGTCTCCCTGCTCCCCTTTGCCTCCTCCTCCTCCTGCTATTTTTTGCAAAGATGGAGGCTAGGCCGGGGGGGAGGGGACTCCTTTCCATGCCTTCAGGAGAAGCTGAGTGTATCAGCCCTTTGCCGCCCTGTTCTCTCGCGCAGAACTGCTCAGGGTTTGTGCTTTGTTTTCAGGGCTCCGCACTGCCTTGCCTTACAGTGGCAAGCAGCTATGCTGGTGCCTTGGGTTAAACTTTCTGGGGGTACCGGTGAGGTTTCTGATCCCTTGGTTTTGGACACTGATGTTTCAGGCAAAACAGGCAATGCTGGTGTTTGACCCCTTCCCTGGAAGATGGCAGATGATTATGTAATAAAAACTAGCTAACTGCTCATGGGCATCTTCTATTTTACATCTCCATTAAGGCATGGAGGATGGGATAGAGTGCACCTCCAGCAAGTCTGGAGGCAATACCAAACTAGGAGGAGTGGTTGATACATGAGATGGGTTTTGGGGCCTTCAGAGGGCGGGCTGGAGACATGGGCTGATGGGAATCTCATGAAGTTCAACAAAGGAAATGCAAAGTCCTGCCCTTGGAGGAGTAACCCTATGCCCCAGTCCAGGCTGGGGACTGGTGGGCTGTCAAGCAGCTTTCCAGAAAAGGAGCTGGGGGTGTTGATGGATAACAAGTTGCACATGAGCTCGTAATGGCTGTGGCTTATGTAGCAAAGGCCAACAGCATCCTGGGCACACTAGGGAGAGCGTTCCCGGCAGGTCAAGGGAGGTAATTATTACTCTCCTGTTGAGCGCTGGTGAGACCACATCTGGAAGTGCTGTGTCCCAGTTCTGGGCTCCCTAGTGCAAGACAAGCATGGGCGTACTGGGGCAAGCCCAGCTCTGAGCAGGAGATTGGGACTAGATGATCTCCAGAGGTCCCGCCCAGCCTCAATGATTCTGTGACACGCGCTTGAGCTTTCTTTGTGGCTGGGAGATGTCTTGCGTAGTGTTTGAAATATATTGGTATTAATTATGGACTTGAAGATGTATACTGAAAATAAATATTATCACAGTGGGAAGCTTTCCATGCACAGAGCTGAGAGGATGCAAATCTTTGTTGTTCTTCTATGTCCTGATGAGAGCTGTCTGGGTACTGCCTCCTCTGAGGTCACTGCAGCTTGATCCTGAGAAAAGTGTGTCTTTGTAGCTAGTGGGAACATGGCTTTAGGGACTTGGGGCAATAGGGCAAAGCTGAAGCTTCCCTTGCTTACGTGGGAAGCTTCAGCAAGGCTGTGTCCATGAATCAAGCTGTAGGATTGTGCCCAGAATGACAGCATGGTCACTGGAGTGGCTCTACCAGATCTCTTGTTTCCACATCTGCTGTGAAGGGGACAAGAAGTGATGAGCTCTGATTGTAGCCCCTGAGGTTCAGAATAGGCACTAGACTAGCAGTAGGGATGTTCATCCTTGGAACAGACTGCCTGGAGCATGGGAAGGACCTTCATCACTGGCGGTTTTAGGACCTGGATTAGATGAAAGTTTGTAGGAATGAGCGTGCTGTTGGTGATAGTGCCTTGAACGCACAGTGGGTGGTCTGTCCAGGTCCTCTTGGTTCTGTGACCCTCTCTCATGGCCCTCCAGCTGTCTCAGCACCTGGAGAACCACAGTTACTAATATTTGGGTTACTTATTGGGATGGTCATGGAAGGAAGGACTGGCATTCGTGGTTGTAACTTGTCTTTGTGCCATTTGTGGAATCGCTGCTATCCTTTCCCCTTAGCAATTACCTTTGAATGTGCCCTCTTCATAATGAAGACTGATAACCCAGAGCTGCCTGTCAAAGCTCGGCAGCTCTGTTTATAGAGGCTGGCAATTAAAAATGGATCTCATATATAATTAAAAAGGATCACGTAGGCTTTGCGCCTTGCATTCAAGAATAAAGAGGCTGCCATCTAGGAATCCAGGCAGAAAATGGAGATGCTGACAGCCAGCTCCTACTTTTATGCTAATTGCTAATCATCTGCTTTGTTTAGTATAATGCAGCAAGGATTGCGTTCATGTCACGAGCCATGTAACCATTTTATTTCGTGGAAGTGTTCCCCTGTGACACCACATGGACAAATAGGGGGATACTGAACGCCTGGGTGTTAAGTTTGAGCTTTGGAGAGCTAGAAACTCCTGGAAGAACAAAAGCAATCAACACAGCCCAGGAATAGTGCAATTTCAGGTGACTGCTCGCTACAGGAATAGTGTCTTGGCTGCTTTGGGCCATGAAGGTGTAGCTGTGTATTGGTTGGCCCTTCCTTCATGCGCGTGAGGTGCAGTAGGGAAAAGATGATGATGAGACCTCCTTGCAGTGTTTTTTCCCTGGCTACCAAACCTCTGTGAAAAGAGGTTTGCAAGTGGCTGGTCATAGAGGACTGTGGGTGCAAAGGCACTTGCATACCTGGGTAGGTCTGCATTTCTGTACGCAGAAAAGTTCACGCGCATGTGTAGTTGTTTGCTTCTATACAGTTGGTTTGTATCAGCAAAGCCTGTCAGCGTGGTCTCTGAAAAGCTGATCCTATGTTGTGAAGACTCTAACGCCATGGATAGGTCTGTACCTGCTGCTTTTCAAGAAATGCCGGTTGGGTGGCTCAGAGGTTTCTCAGCCCCACTCTTCCGTGGTTACCAGGACCCTCGTGTGATACATTTGCTGGAGAAAAGGGATAAAAGGATTTTGATTTGATTGGATAATTCTGGCAAGGAGCAGTCTGTCTCATGCTCTTCCTTTTGGTCACTCAGGTTTATAACTCTTCCAAATGGTGTCCTCCAAATTGTGGATGTGCAGGAGAGTGACGCTGGGGCTTACCACTGCGTGGCAACCAACGCCGCTCGGAAACGCTACAGCAATGATGCGGTCCTCAGTGTCCTGAAAGGTAAGATGCAAGCAGGCGTGTGTTGGCCTGAGTACGTATGTGCTGGATAGTTGTTGTGTGTGATGGCCAGCTGAGCTGAAATGTCAGTGATGATCTCTCCTGCTGCTTTGGCTCTGAGTGTGGGAGGATTTGGCCAAAACTTGCGGAGAAGGCTTTCTAAAAAAGACTTGTCTTTAGTATGATGGGGTAAGTGGGCTGGGTTGGGAAGTGTTGCCACTTGAGAGTCACGGCTGTGTGACATGGCCCCAGTCCCAGGGCCATGTTGCTGACCAAATGATCATGGGGTTGTTTCTGTGTGCACTCTGGGATTCTCTTTTGCAGGTGGATTATAACAGCAGCAGCTGCCTTCTGGTCTCAGACAGCAAGACAGGTAAAGGCTGGGCAGGAAGCGAGGAAGTTGCTTGCCCAAGCTAGCAAGATAAACAGCTGGAGGTTGGAGTAGCTGGCAGGGCTGTGTCTGTGCTGGGTGACGCGGCAGGGTCCAGAGGAGGTTAGGAACAGTAACACCTGATCTGCACTCTGTCTTGTGTTGCCAGCTCTTTGCTAAGCTGACAGGAAGGCTCTGAAGATCCTCGCAGTATTGGGAACAGCCTCAGCTGGGATTTCTTTTGGTGGCTTGGACCATGCGAGCAAGGCTTTGGACTCAGCTGTCCTTTGTCTCCTGATCTGGGCCTCAGTTTGAGTGCCATTCACCCCCCCCCCCCTCTCAGACCCACCACGCACACCAAAAAAAAAAGGCCTGAGAACGTAGCAAAGAGTGTAAGCACACTGGGGGTCTCCAGACTTCAGCATCTTTCCCAGCACACCTGGCTGCCTCCCCAGTATGATATAATCTGCACCCTGCAAGTGAGCAAACTCGCCAGGGCTGGGAGTCTGGCAGAGCAGTTACTCCCCTGTCCCAGGACAGTGCCCCCATGCCATGTCTGTCCCTTGTTCATGCTGACCCCAATGTATTTTGTAGGCAGCTTTAACCTTGAAAGCTCTGAAATCCTTCCAAGCCCCTTTTGTCTTTGTTTAGGATTGTATTGTTTGGCGCTCTGCTAGTAATGTGTTTTCACATAGCTGGCTTTGCTGTTCATCCATCAGCAGGGAGCGTAATTAACTGTGGAGCCTGAGAATACACCTCTGATCAATGGATTGTGTCGTGGAGGTAATCTGTGTGGGATCTGCGGAGAATTCGTGAGCAGTTGAACTCTCTGCATCTAATTGCCAGCCCCTGCCACATCCTCTGCGTGCTTAATGAAGCACAGGGGTTAGGGGAGTGCTTGCTACGGGCAGTTCCACGCTCCAGCAACAGCTCCCGCATTGCCTCTGGTTCGCTATTGATAAGTAGTATTGATCAAGCTGCAGAAGTAACTGTGCTGTCCTTGGCATCCCAACTAGTTCTGCATAATTGTATCTTGTAACTGCGTGATGTTTAATCTGCTTTGCAAATGGAGGCAATGGAAGAGGTTAAATGGGAAGCATTCCTTCTGGAGCACCAGCCGGCCGAGCAGATTTCTGCCTGCAGTTCTCGCCCAAATCTCGCTTCTGCAGCGCCGCACCACCCGCTGGCTGCAAAAACAAATATGCGAGGTTGAGTTTTTCACCAGATTGAGCTGATAGGGATGAAAAACATGCCTGTTAAATCTCTGGGGATTTTTATAATTGGGGAAAAGCATCTCTGAGACAGATGGGAAACTGCAGTTACCTTTGCAGGCCACACACTTCTCTGAGAGTGACTGGCACTGTATTGATCCTTTTTTGTTTCAGCACTTCACCATCAGAGGCACATTTCTGGATGCCTGGACTGGTTTGCCTCCCTGTTCAGAACCAGCTGGCAGTAGATGGAGTGAACTGGTCTGATGGAAATCCTTTGCTGGTTGTAAAAACAAGAGGGGGGGGAAAAAAACCAACAACAAAAGAACAAAAAGCCCAGAATACAGCATTTAGTATTGCTCGAATTGCTTATTTGGAAATGTCAGAGGCCAAACTCCTTGTATCTGCAGGCAGGAGCGATTAAACATCATCTTCCCTCCCTGCTGATGGCTAATGAATCATTTCTAAGATAAGATGAGAGTCTAGGCTTTCAGTGCCTGGCTCCACTGCAAGAGCTCCTGGAAAGGATTTGTGCAGGGGGAGCTGGTATCTCATTACTAACTTTGCCTGCAGCGTTGACATCCCGGTGACAGCACTGGGCACTGCTGCGTGGTGACGACTGTGTCCGTGCCCTAGTGATGGGGTTTGGGGTTGGGCTGGTTGCAGTGCAGATGCTTGTACTTGCACTGGGCTGCCAGCCCTCAGCTCGCAGGCCTGGGAACATCTCGTGCTCACGACTCTGCCCCTGCCAGACATAGCTGGATTTGAACTGGCTTTGCATAGCAAAGTAATCCGTGTCCCTACAGCTTTTCTGCCCGGTTGTCCTTTTTCTGCTTTCCCTCCCCCTCGTCCAGATATGATGGCTGGGAATTGTTCCATCTCCCTTATTAAAAGCCTTTTCCCAGTAGAGACAGCAATTAGCACGATCCCCTTCTGTCGTATCTGCATGGCCTAAAAACCCCCAAAATGTAATTTCCCTTTGCGATGTGACTTCCCTTGTCACGTGAGGAAGGCTGTATTATGTGTCAGTGGCTAAACACATGCTGGCCTTACACATGCTAGGGCAGAGTGACAGTGCACAGTGGTGCTGTAAGCGCTGCAGATGTTTAGGCTGTGCAGACTTCATGGTGCAAATTTCCAGACGTTCCCTGGGGAAGCGGTGTTTTGAGCAGGAAGGGAGGAGAGCAGACGGAGAACGGGATACAGTCATGCAGCCCTGAAACAGAGCCTGCTGTAGAAATAGAAGCAGAGGGATAACTTTGATTTTCTCCTTGGATCTCCACTGCTCCCTGGCAGACGGAGTGTCGAACATCTGGCAGCTCCGTCCCTTCACCCCTCACCTGGACAGATGATGAATGAACACTGCAGCCCTGCTGCACTCTCTGCCAAAAAGGGCATTAAGAGCTGGCTGCAGGACACTTTTCCCATGCGCTCTGACTGTGTGCACTGCCTTTACTTGGGGTCAGTTCATGATGGGGCTGTGTCTTGTTTCTTGTTGCTCCTTTTTCTGCAAGCCAGCTCTGGAGCCCTACTCTGAACTCATCTATGAAGAGTTAATTCCCTGTGGGTCCTGCCCACGCTCCTGGGTCCTTGATGCACGCAGGAAAGCACCATCATGCTTCATAAAGCAGTTCTCAAGGAAGGGCCAGTGATGGGAGATGAGGGTGGGCAGACCAGGCTAATAACAAGTGTTTGAGTTGCAGACACAACAGAGCAGCACCTCTCTAGGTGGCATTTGTGACTTAGGAGCCTCCTGGAGTCATGCAGGGCAGTGCTGTAGATCTAAAAACCGAGCTAGCTCTGCTCGCGTGGCAGGAGAATGGCTTGGGGAGCAGGTTGTTGTGTGGTCTCAAGTAGGTCACTTCACCTGCCTGCTTTTTTCCCCCCTGCCCATTGTGCTCAGTATTTGTTCCCTATCCATTGTCTTGGAGATGGGGACTGCCTCTCATGTTATTTTTGTACCCTGTTTAGTATAACATGACCTGCACCCCCTGCTGCACCACAAATAACCACTGGAGGCTGTGCTTCGGCTAGTGTGGTACGTTTTTGCAAGGATCTTGTCCGTTCTGTTTTTAAATGGCAGAAGCAGCATGACTTCCCCCTAATCCTACTGGATCTTCCCCCATTGAAGGGATATTAGGATCTCTCTTTGCCATAGCTAACCTAGATTTCACTTTCCTCCAGCTCAGTCTATTCGTTTTAATTGCACAGTATTGAGATCTTGAAAGAAATCCTCCTTCCTGCTTGTTTTTTAAACCCTTTGAGTATTTATAGACAGTCTGGTCCTAAAGGACCTAAAGGAAGTTAAAAGATCTTAGCAGTTTTATAATATAGTGGAGTTTATACAAGGCTGGGAAAAGTACAAGAGATTAAAGCGGTTCCATCCATTTTGGATCCTGATACCGCTGCTCCATTCTTTAGATTTCAGTGTTTATGTCTTTTTCACACTTGCATGGTAGTCATTGCAGCCTAGTGAGCAAAGCATTGTCCTGTGAGCCAGGACTGTTGGGTTCTCCTTTCTTTTTTGACGTTGTGCCACAGAGGAGAATCCATTCTTGCGCTTTAATTTCTGCATCTGTAAATAGGGATAATGTAATAGGCTTGGAGTTGCCTGCTTAGGAGAGATCAGTCTGGGGAAGAATTACAGGCCATTGCTGGAGGTCCATCCACTCAGGTGGGTCGGACATCCAACTACCCTCCCAGGAGAGGGTGCAAGTATGTATCTGATTGTGGGTGTTGTGAAGAACGCTGTTGTCCGCTTTTGTCATTTGCACCCAGTTTCTGATCTGTGCTTGCAGAGTGGCTGTGATTGCTAGGGTGGATTGTAGGTCACTCTGGTACCTAGATAAAAGCTGTACCTTAGGCCAGGTTGGCAAGAATGAGTGTGTATAACAGCCTTCTTCCAACACTGACAGGGCAGCTGGGAGAAGGTGTTAGTGTGGTGGTCTCAAGCGTGCTCTGTGTGAGCCTTTTCCTGCACTGGAATAAACAGAGGAACGAAGGGATGGTTCATGATGATGGGTCAGAGGACAGCAGGGCTGGGGCCTGGACTGAGCATGCCACCAAAGAATCTTCCAGCAGATGAGCACGTCCCTTGTGAGTTGGGATTTAGTACTGTGTTATTAGAGATGACACTGTGAGATTGCCGTTGGCAGAACATCATTTATGTTGACAGTTGTAGCAGCTCGCTGCAGCAGTGTCCCAGGAAATGTATTTTTCAGTCAAATGTTTGTATGAGATATGATAAAAGGGACAGGGCTTGGAGGCAGCTGAAACACCTTCACTTTTTCCTCTTCCTGTGGTCTTTGTATTGCAGTGGCTTATAGGTGCTAAGGGGAGAGCTAGGCTTGGGGTGCTGGGACCTGGGTGGTTCCTGCTCCAAAGGGTTGCAGGAAAATGCAGTTAGTGAATGTGATGAGCTG